TATAGGATTTCAGATAGGAATTATCGGGCGATTGGCTATAGGGAGGTATTCATTACACTCTCATTGCTTAAAATTCCCACATAAAATATTAACAGACCACTGATGATGGAAGGCCTACTATGTGCCAGGCACTGTACTAAATGCTTTACATGCACTATATTGTTTAACTCTTATAGCAACCTCACGAGATTGGTTTGATTCTCCCTATTGTGCAGATTGGAAAACTGAGGCATACAGATGTAAAAGATTTTGACCAAAGCAACGGGGAGAGGGTTAGTGAAGCTAAAATTCCACCTTTGGTCTGTCTGGCTTCGAGACCCATGCTCTCTCTATGAAGATGAACATAAACCCAAATAAAGGGGAACTAGGGCCACTGGCTGAAGAATAAAATCATTCACGTTATGATGGATTTGTTGAGTGCATCCTTTTGCTGGGTAGAGTGGCAGATTCACAGATGACAAGGTCAGGAGTTGTGTCTCTGGGGAGCTCACATCCTCATAAGGGAAATGTAAGGACTTTCTTGCTCTTCATCTGCCCAGTTCTATTTTTCTTTTTGGGATCTCCCCTTCCCTATGCATTGCATGCCACCCTGGGGTCTCGCTAGGTCAGGTTCTTGCACTCCTCTGGCTAAGGGGTGGACATTTGTCCCAAACTGGAAAATCAGGCTGTTGGAAAGTAAATTATGAACCACAAACTGCAAATGGCTAGAGCTGATTGGTCCTTTTACCTGCCTTTGGAAGATAACTGCCTATTCGTTTCTGCCATCTGGCTACTCAGCTTTTTCTTCTTTCTGAGAGCTTCCTTGTGGTGGATACTATAGGTTGATTCACTCAGCACACATCCCAACTCCCTTCAAGCTATGTTTTCTCTAATCTAGAAAGCGGAAGTCTGAAAGCTCACTTTCCCAGACTTCGTTGCCATGAGGCGCGGCCATGTGACTTAGGCAGTGAGATGCAAGTGAACGTCTGCTAGCAATGCCTCTCCTGTTTGTCCTTCTTCCGCTGGGATGTGAACATGATGGTTGGAGCTGTGGCAGAAACCTTATGAGCATGAGGAAAAGGTTAAGAAAACTGCATAGACCTCAGCCCTGCTTGGTGACATCAAGCAACAACTTCCCTTTGGAGTTCTTATAAAACCACTGTGTGGGGGGTTCCGTTACTTGCAGCCCAGTGGACCTCTTAACTGATATGCCGTCTGTATATTTCCTTTACACTTTTTTTTTAAATAGGAAGGGTGCTTGAGGTAGGCAGAGTTTCATTGTGCAAAAAAAAAAAAAAAAAAAAAATCCTAATCGATATGAGGGAAGGAGGAACGTTCACGGCAAACCACAACATCAGCCAGAATGAAATGTGCTTTCCTAGAAGGAAGAGCTACCATAATACAAGCATGTTCTGACAAGTCTGTACATTTTTCTAAGTGTTTTCTCACACATTGTTTCCACTGGCTCCCTCGGCCACCCTATAAAATGAGAATTATTATTATACTCATCTCAAAAATGAAAAACGATCTCAGAGTTTGAGCACTGTGGAGGTGAAGAAAAGGAAGTGAGTAATTTTAGCTGGAGAAACTGGCGGCTTCATGAAAGGGATGCCTTTGTGCTGGAATTTGAAAGATGAACAGACTTTTAATAAAGGCGGGAGGCAGAGGGAAGGGCATTCTTAGCTGAAGCTAGAACCACAAATCCTAGAGGCATGAGACAGGGAAGCCCACAGGCTTTCCAGCAAGCTGAGGCCGGACCCCTGAGAGGGTGCCGACCATGGGATCAATAGAACTTATAGACATCAAAATATTTTACCTGGATAGTCTTATAATAGGAAAAAAAATCACTGCAGGATAATGGGAAATTCACTAGGTTGAGATGCAGGAGGGTCCGGGAAGATGATGGGTAGCTAAATGTACCCCATGCTATTGTTCTCAAGTCAGTAGCCAAAACCTTCTGGCCACAGCGTGAAATCGGGCAGCTCTGTTTAGTGTCCATGTTTCGATCTAACTATAAAGTTTTATTTTATCCTATTCTTTCTTTATTCCTTATTTGTCGAGTGCCTACTAAGATCCAGACAGCGAGAACTCTGAGTGAAAAGACAACAGTCTCTGCCCTCATGGAGCTCACGGTCTAGTTGGAAAGAGAAAGCGGCACTTACTTGCCATAAGGCAGGAGTCCCCAACCCCCAGGCCAGACCTGTACTTGTCTGTGGCCTGTTAGGAACCGGGCCGCACAGCAGGAGGTGAGCTGCGGGAGAGTGAGCGAAGCTTCATCTGTATTTGCTGCCGCTCCCCAGCCCTAGCATCGCAGCCTCAGCTCCAGTTCAGATCATCAAGCATTAGATTCTCATAGGAGCACTGACCCCTGGTGCCAAAAAGGTTGGAGACCACATAAGTGACAACAATAAAGATGACAGTTTAATGAGCACTAAGCATGTGGGCCAAACATTTTGTCAGATTATCTCATTTAATCTGTCTGATGACCCTATGAGGAATTTTTATATTTCCGTTTTGCAGATGAGAAATCGAGGTTAAGTAAAATGCCCAAGGTCACGCAGCTAGCAAGTGGCAGAGCTGAAATATACATCCTCACTTGTAAACACTGCAAACTATTCCTCCCTTACACACACACACACCCCTTGGGAGATCAGAGGAGGAAGAGCACCGCACAAACCTAGCATTGCAAGGAGCACTTCCCTCAGAGGTGACAGAATTGGGTCCCCAGGAAATCTGCAAGCTTGCCGGATAGAGAAGGGGAGGAAGCACCTTCCAGGCTGCGGGAAGGGTGTGAACTCTGGAGCGGGGGAGTGTGGGGCGGGTCTGAGGAATCTGTCGGTTGTTCAGCATGGCTGCCATGTGGCCTTACTGGGGGGGGGGTGGGGGGTGGGGGAGGGATGGCGTTGGAGAGGCGTGCCGCGCGAAGGAGGTCCCACCGTATCTGGGGCGGAGGGGCCACTGAGGCTCTTCAGGAGGACAGATTTGAATTTCAGAAAGGTCACTCTGCTGTCTTGCATGCAAGTTGGCTCGAGGGGCTCAGAAGGGCACAATCACTGTGACCATTGTGACGGCTGGAGGAGGTGACCTGACAAATGTTCATTCTCTATAAAGCAAACTGGACTTTGGGCCATTTCTCCCTGAGTCCTAGAAGTAAGAAAATGCTTGCCGAAGTTCTTATTTTCAAAAGGATGGAGGACTCCGAAGAATAAATTCAACTCCTAGCTTTGTAACATACTATCAGAGGGGACCTTGGGCTAGTCTCTTTAATTCTCTAAATCTCCGTTCTTTCATCTATAAAATGGGGCATTGACATGACTACATCACAAAGTGTAACAGGAAGTAAACAGAAGAGATGAAAGGCATACACACACATTATAACTGTTTTATACCTAATCTTTTGATTCAGTTATCTATTGCTGCATGAAAAAAAGACCCTTAAAATTTAGTGCTGTAAGCAACATCTATTTTGCTTCTGAGTCTGCCGTTTAGGCAGATTTGGCAGGAGACAACACATCTCTGTTCCATGCAGTCTCAGAGGGCTGGAATTATGTGAAGGCTGTTTGCCCATAGGTCCAGAGTTGCTGCTGGCTGCTGACTGGGACCGTAGCCGGGAATGTCAGCAGAACACCTCACCTGGCCTCTTCATGTGGCTTGGGCTTCCTTATAACATGGCGGCTGGGCTCCCAGGAGGAGCAGCTTGAGAGAGAGCATAAATGGAAGCAGTACTGCTTTTTATGATGCGGCCTCAGGAATCACAGCATTACTTCTAACGTCATTTTATTAATTAGAAATGAGTCACTAAGGCTGGACCACATTCAAGAGGGAAATTAGTCTCCATCTCTTGATGAGAGGTCAAAGAATTTGTGGACATGGTTTAAAACCAACACATTCTTGCAGCAAATTATTACCGCATAGCAATGGGCCAGGTGAAGGTGGATCTGAGCAGAAGGGAGGTGATGTGAAGTCTCATTCCTATTTTGTTTTGACTTTAAGGAGGGAAACAGCACTTACGTGGCTGACAACACAGTTGAGATGCTGCCTGTGACAGCACTAAACTACTATATCACGTTTATTATACAAACAACTGAGCTCTTACATCATGTTTCAGAGCTAGAGGGGCAGTATCAGGAATCTTTTGGCTGAAAGTTGCAAAACCTAGTTCAAGTCGACCTATGTAATGAAGAGAATTTACTGGCTAATGTAGATAAAAAGTCTAGAGTGTGTACTTCAGGCAATGTTTGATCCAGTAGCTCCAAGATGTCCCGGAAGACCAGGTTTTTCTCTATTTCTTCACTTTGCCTTCTATGAAGTCACTTTTATTTACTGCTGGCTCTCTTTTTGATCGCAAGATGACTTCTAGCACTTCCTTGGTTGCGTGATTTTCTGTTTGTGTCCAGGCGGGGACACTAACCTCCTGCCACTGTGAAATCGTTGTGTCTGGTGTCTTCTTCTCTGACCCCAGCACCGTTGAGCTTCACCTCAGTCTGCAGGCCCTAGGACTGAGAGAGAGGGAAAGGCCACGGACGTCTCAGGGGGACCTGCCTTCCATGACCCAACTCGCAGAAGGAAGGCCTGGGTGTGCTGGCGGGAGCCCAGAGTGTCAGGCCAAGAATTTGCAAGGGTGTCACCGCCAGGCCTTGCTGCTCTGATGGCCTGGGTAATGTCGTCATGTGATGAGGCCGCACGCCTGCCAGAGCCCTTTAGCTGACCGGGGATGTCTTTGAGGCAAGGGGCATTGCATCTCGGTCCTCTATCCCTCCTTTCCAGGGCTCAGGGTACTGGATGTTTCTGGAAGGAAAGGGGTGCGAGGGGACTGAAGTCAGGGTGAACACGTCCTGGTTGCAGTCCAGGAGCTGCTTCCTCGGTGCTCTGTGACCCCAGCTACTGCGAGCCTCAGGTTCCTCATCGGTAAAGGGGGGCAAATGACCCCCACCCAGGCCTCTTCTTCCCCAAGACACAAGGATGTTTTTCAAAATTTTTTAAAAATTAAGTTTATTGGGGTAACATTGGCTAATACAATTATGCAAGTTTCAGGTGTACATTATAATTTGACATCTGTATATTCTGTCGTACGTTTACCATCCAAAGTCCAGTTTCCTTCAGCTACAATATATTTGATCTCCTTTACCGCGTCACAGGATTGAAAAGGCAGTGAAACCATGTCGTGAAAAGACTGGGTCCACAAGGCACATGTCAGAGGATTATTATTATTGTTAAAAATAATAGACAGCTTTGAAGCTGGTACCCCGAGGCTCCGGCAGAACCCAGCCACTGCCAGCAAGCTGCCGTCTTTCAGATTGAGACGCAGATACAAGAGGCAGAGAGGAAAAGCTGATCCTGGAGGCTCCTTCCTGAGACTTCTTTGTTTCCTTCTTCCCTCCGAGGCCTGCAGGGAATATGGGAGGCTTCCAACTTACACAGTGCTACCTGGTAGCAGAATCTGTACGGCCGCGGTGGCACCTGTCATCAGCGCCAGAGAGTCAGCCGGCTGGAGGGGAGGAAACAGAAGCCTCACTCAAAGGGATGCTCTAGGCTCCTCCCCCCCTCCCCTGTGTTCCTCCTCCTCCTTCCCTCTCCTGGACCCTCCAGTTCTGGGTCTCCTGAAGCCCTGCCATTCAGGGGCTCCTCCTCCTGCCAGGAGGTGGCATCCGTTTCCCACCTGTAACATCGCTTCCTCGATATTGGAGATGTAGTCCACCCACCATAATTTCATTTTTAAATCCACGTCTTTAAGAAATATTGCTGTCGGAAATGTAAACTTGGCTTACGAGACAAGTGGCTATCGATATAAATACATAATTATTGAAGTAAAAACAATGCATGCCTCCTCACAGAATTGGTTTCGGGTCCTTTCCGTGGTTTCTGTGCTGCCCTTCGGAGCGCCCCGAGGTAGAAGACGCCATCAGGCTCTGTCGGGTCCTGCACGGCGTGTTTACCTGTGTGAGGCAATTGACTGTGATTCGTTCCAAGCCTTGCAGCCATTTTGCAGATGAAGCAGCCAAGGCTTGAGGAGAGATTAAGTGACTTTCTCAAGGTTCCCAGACAGGAGACGGGGATCGGGGCCACAGTGGATCGATCGGGGGCCACAGTGGATTCGTGGAGCCTGGACACATCGTACTTGGCATCCTCCAAAGCTTTCAGCACAGTGCTTGACATGGTGGTGGCTGAGAGGGAGATTTCAAATGAGGAAGACAACCTCGGGGCAGTGGGGCACGACAGCTGAAGAAGCATGAGATGACAACACAGAGGCTGAGATAAATCACAGGGACGTGAAGTACAGCCTAGGGAACAGCGTCAACAATGTTGCAGGAACTATGGACGGTGACCGATGGGGACCAGACTCACTGTGGTGATCGCTTTGTCAGGTATATAAATGTATGACATACGATTTATACGTTGTACTCATATAGTATGGTATGTCAACTATAAGTAAAAATAAATTTTAAAAAGCTACAATAATAAAAATAAAAAGGACGTAGTTGTAGGAGTTCTGGAACATTTATTTGCATCAGCGGTTTTCCTCTCTCCCTGTCTGGGGGGAGGCGGAGGCCGAACTAATGGGGACCCGGTTTTTCTACTTTGCCTTGGTCCTCCTCCAACCTTTCTATAGTATGATTTTGAGTATGATTTCATTAGAGAAAGAATAAAAAACAAAGATTCTTTTGCTAAAAACAAGAAGAGCTCATTTTTAGGCGGCCTTCAAGGCTTCCCCAAATCCCGTCGACTGGGATTTTGTAATTTAAATGTGGGCACTCGCCCTTCCTGGCTGTGTGATGTTGGATGAGTCAGTCGGCATTCTGAGTCTCAGTGTCTTCAAAATGGGCACAAGGAGAGAACCGTTACTTAGTTCTCAGGGTTCCTGTGTGGAGGATGCACGGACATGACCTGGAAAGAGCGAAGGACTCTGCAGGAGTAAGGGATTGCTGGCTGTGCAATCATCAAACATTTCTTGAGTGGTAGCTCTGGGCTGCACTCCGGCTAAGTGCTAGAGATACAAACAGCCACTGGGCGCATAGGAAATAGATAAACAACGGGAGTGAGATAAATAAGCAGGCAATCGCCCCATGAAAGCATACGTGCCCAGAGCTAAGCCTGGGGTAGGGTCATCCTGGGGATGAGGTGGCGGGGAGGAGGGGGGGAGGTGGTAAGAAAGGGACATCTAGCATGAGTCTTAAAGTGGAAGCAGAAAACAGTAGTGACACTGGGTGCATATGTTACTGGAGAGTGGGGTTCCCTCCCGGTGTGTGGTCCAGGTTCTCGATGTCTCCAACAAAGAATCGAGCAAGACACTGAAAGACAGCAGGAAAGAAAAGCTTTATTAGAAGAGAAAGAACACTTCCAGACGTGGAAACGGGCCTGAGCAAGAGAAACGTGGCTCAAAGGCCTGGTAACAAAGCCTTTGGGGCTTTTATCCCTATTTGCTGTGGTTGGTGACTTTTCTGAGAGGAGTGGGCTTCCCTGACTGACAACTCACATTGACAGGACTCAGTGATTCATCGTTTGCTTTCCGCGCATGTTCGTTCGCAGAATTCGGTCTGTTGTAATGATATTAATGGACTTCTGGACATATGCGTCATCTTATAATGATGGTATAATGAGGCTCAGGTAAATTAAAGATTGTTGGGATCTTTACTGTGCAGGTGGAGTGACTGGCTGAAACTAGTACCCAACTTTCTGCTCACTTGTTTCTATGAGTTACTTTTAGCTCCCAAATGCCTCTGGCTTGCTTCAATGTGGGTGAACTAGGGCGGACCCCTTCGAGGATAGGATGACCTCAGTGTTTCTGCAGGCAGACCCGAAACCCCCTAACTAACTTTCCTGCCTAACTCTTTTCTAAGAGCCATGAACCCCTTATTATTGGTATGGATGTGGAGGGATGAGCGTCTCTTCTGTTTTTTTTCCTGCGCGGAATGGCCGAAGTCCCTAACTACAGGGGTTTCATGGAGCACTTTCCCTTTCTGCCTCAGTCAGGGTGGGGTCTTGGGTTTCCTACTGAAGTGCCACCTCAGTCCCTAGACAAGGAAAAGAAGATATGAACTTGTTATTTAAATCATATATTTATTAATTTTATTATCGATTTGCCTATTAAGAGAGTAAAAGGAAACAAGCTTGGTTAATATATTTCTTAAAGAGTAAAAAGACCTTTGGCCTAAAGTCCCCTCCCCTCTCGGACTCTAAGGGCCCTGTCTGGCCTAACGCCATGTCTGATAACACTGGGCCGATGACCCTTATCAATAGCCAGAGGATGTGAGTCACCAGTTTTAGGGCAGTTATTGGGATTTGAGGGAGAGGGCCTTTTTCCTAAAGAGAGGAGAAAAGAAAACTTAACTAGGTTTTATAAAAAGATTAAGAACTCTGCAAGAGATGTCTCGTTTCATTTCCTGCTAAAAGATTAAGAATTTTACAAGCGATGTCCCATATCACATGTACATATATTTCATTCACATAGGATTTGAGTCACATAAAATTAAGAATTCTGAGATCCCATTTCCCCTTTTGTGCAAGGATCTCATAGAGACAAAAGCAAATGCAAAACGTACTGTTGGGCCAACGGTACGAACTCCGTCAAGGAGTTCTGTTCCATCTTTTTGCAAACATCATTCTACCAACAAATATGCTAGGCCCTGTCCTCTTGAGAAAACTCGATACACTTACAAACCATAATACGTGAGGGCCCTCTGAGTGTCTAAGATAGACCTCAGGGAGGCAAGGTGTCTTCACAGAGGCCAAGAAGTACAGGAGTCAGGTTTAGGTCTGGGGGTGGCTGTGTGTGCAGGGGACACGTTCCAGGTCTGCAGTCTGAGGGACAGAGTTTGAGTCCATCACAATGGTTGCACAGCAATGGTTGCGTGTGTGTATGTCAACTAGTGAGCCGTGTGCTGAGGGTATGGAGATGAATCAACCCCTCTCCTTGCTTTAGGGCAGCATAGGACAGAGATACATAAAACGCCAATTAAAATCCATGATGCTAAGTGTCATGTGCAAGATGCTTTGAGAGCAGTTTTTGCGTGTGATGTTTTGGAAAAGACACAGAGATGGAAAACAGACACACCTGGGCTTCGATTCCAGCTCTGCCCCTCACTCTGTGATCTTGGGCAACTTATTTAACCTCTCTGAGCCTCTGTTTCTCCATCTAGAAAATGGGGGTGGAGTAATAACTTACCTGCCGGTACAGGTGAGTGAAGAGTACAGCACTGAGATGCCGCTGGGGAAGCACCTGGCTCAGTAAGCAGTGACTATCACCACCATCTTGGGCAAGACACTTAACTTCTCTAAATCTCCAGGAGCTTTGAATGTTCTCATCCACACACGAGGCAATGGAAGTGAAATGGGCTTTGAAAAACCGTGACAAGCAAACGTTATTGCTCTTAGGATTCTCAGCCAGACCGAATGAGGACAGAGAAGGTAAGTGCAGCGAGGTGCTTTGCCAGAGTCCAGTGAGGAACCGTGGGCCGGAAACATCTCGTGCCCCTCCCGCCCACTGCCCTGCAGAGCCCCACACGGTCCTCTCTCATCATCTGAAACCTAAGTATCTTCTGGACTATGGCCTGCAGATCCAGGGCTGGGTTTCTTTGTCTATCGGCAAAGTCCTGCTAGGAGGGGCACTCGCCGTCAGGCCTGAGAAAGAAGTCAGGCGTGGCTGGAATGCAGTTGCAAAAGAAGTTACAAGAGCCTGGCGAGAATGCTGAAATCAAGCGATGTCGAGAGGTTTTGTTATTTTTGAAAAAATGACTCATTCTGAGAAACCCTAACGACCTCACAGAACATTCACCTAGTTGCCTGTATGTATAAACCCCAAGCTCACTGCAGAGAAAAACAAATCCTGTTGTCACAGATGACGGAGGGGTGGCGGGGCGGTGAGGGCTGGCAGTGGGAATACGGATGCCAGTCTGATGAAGGAAGAGTTTAAAGATAACTCCTGCCCTCTAAGGGGACTTGTTTGAAATCTCCAAGTCCTCTTCCCTAAATCGTCCCACCAAACTATCACGAAAACATCCCCTTGGAGGTAACGTGTTCTTCGGTTTGACCTGAGATGACCAGGGTGGTAAGGTTATTCCCGCTTGATGTGCAAAGGAATTGCTGTCCCAATCACTTGAGCTATTTCTCCAAGATTGGGGGTGGGGCGGGGTGTGGCAGGTAGGGACGAAGGGAAGGAGAGAGTGAGAAGGAAATAAAGAGGAGGAGAAGGGAGAAGAAAGAAGAGAGGAGAAGCCCCGTGAATGAGAGCCAAGGTGAAAACCGCGCTCGCGTCGCGTGGAAGCTTGTCCTGTGGACAGACAGGTGTCAGCGTGGGTGCCTGTTGGCCGCCTCACTGTCAGATGCTCAGAGATGGACTCTTGCTCCGCCTCCGTTCTTAGCCGGATGCGTGACTTTTGGGAAACAGTTCTCTTCACCATGTCTCCACCTCTCGTCCGTGAAAGCATCAAGGTGAAAGGGGTCGAATAGACTCAGAGCTTCTGAAATTTATTAGGCGTACAAATATTCCGGAAAACTCGTTAGCATACAGGTTGCTGGGCCCCGCTCCAGAAAGTCTTTTTCTGAAGGTCTAGGGATGGGCCAGGGAATCTGCATTTGTAACAGGCTCCCCGAAGAGGCTGCTCCTGCCGATTGGTCACTGACCCTACTTTGAGTATCCTGGGGCTGGATGATCTTGAATGTCCCTGCCATTTCTGCTGTTCAATGATTCAAAAAACTCATCAGCTCCCGGTCATCGGGTCATTGAGAGGTGTGCCAAGTTCTGGGAACGTGAAAACAAACAAGACATGGTTTCTGCCTTTGGGGTCTAGCGGTCTAGGTAGGGAAACAGAGAAGATAAGGCTGTTCATCATTGCACATGGCGCAAAAGGGACGTGCAGAGGTGGGAGCCGCCAGCTGCCTGCGTGGGAGTCAGGTAGGGCTTCAAGGAGGAGGGTGCTGACGCCAGGGCTTAACTTGTCATTAACCAGAAGGAAATGCTAGAGGACAGCTTCTGTGCAGAGGGAAGTGCAGGCTGTTTAGAACGGTCCACAGAGAAAGCTCTGGCTAAGTGCTCCTTGCATGAGGCGTGGCATTCGTGCTGCTCAGAGCTATAGTCCAGCTCTGCCCTCCAGGAGCTGCCAAACGCAACAGCAGCTGTACCCCACTCCCCTGGAGGGCCTGGGGGACACCCGGGGAGAGAAATCCTGATCAATCAGCATCCCCAGGGACCACGGTCAAGTGTTTATACATATAAGATATGTACGCATAAATATTATACCGTATGGACATTCATTGTGCACCTATGTACACACACGGAGCTGATTCTCGTTATTGTGAGTGTGTCTCTTTGCTTGTAACTCCCAAAGCAATACTCGTGGCCCTTGATGGACATAAGCAGAGCAGTGAAAAATTTTGACTCACGCAGCTCTCGTGTTCCCAGCTGAATAATGCTCCACCTTCTTGGTTCGGCTCTTGTACTATGAACCAGGATCCTTTTTGTGGTCTACTGAGTGCCATGTTTTGTGTCCTTTGGAGATGATTTTGCTGTTTAAAATCACCTCCAAGCATAGCACCTCTGAGCCGTCTGGAGGCTCCTCCCAAGCACAGGAAGGCCGGCAGGTGCCTCCTGGAGGAAGCAGATGTGTCAGCTCACCCTTGTACAAGCATGAGTTACGGCGCTGTTAGCGGTGTGTTCAAGGGCAATCAGTTGACGATGTGTATTAAAACAAGGTTATGTATTGACTGGTTGATGGAAACGTTTTGATCATGTCAAAAAAAAAAAAAGAGATGATGTAAATGAAGCCACTTCAAAACGGAGCTGGAGCTGCCAAGCCAGAGGGACTGCCTGGCCCGTCTTGGACCTCAAACCTTGGAACGTTAGAACAGGGCAAAATAATCTTTGAACTGGACCCAAGGCAACACCGTGTCCCAAATAACTGTTTGCAAGGATCACGAGAAAGCAGATGTTATGATTACTGGACTGAAGACCACTGACCTGAAAATTAAAGGCATTGTTTAGAATCAGCATCACGACGGCACGTTATCCGCACCAACAGAGATGCCTTCCTGCTATTGATGTAATTGTGCCCTTTCCCCTTCTCATAAACATCCTTTGCCTTTGTCTCTTAATCAGAACACTATTGGGCTCCGGCCTGAATGAATGATTCCTGAATGGCTGGCTCTTCTTATTGATCTCAAATAAACGCTGTCGTCTCTCATTTTGAAAGAACTTTTTAGCTTAGCCACCGGAGGCTCATGGGACCCTCGCCTTCTGCTTCCCCTAGGAGAAATGGTGCAGCGTTCACTAATCCAGTGTTCATGGCAACTTTAGAAACAGCTACCGCGAGTAATTGATGTGTGTGTGTGTGTGTGTGATTAAGCCACTGCTAAGTGTATCTGTTGCTCAGTTATACGTTAGTATATTTAAACAGATAATTCATAGTTGCAGCTAGAGTTTAATAAAATCCAAATGTCTAGGTAAACTTTGGAGGCTTTTGTACGAATCCTAACTGGCAGCAATTTTGCTGCCTCGTTTTCCGCCCCGATTTCAGCAAAACTCTTCTTACCACTCATCCCGGACTTTTCCTTATCATCTGCACCCACTTGAATTCACAATAGCTCACCAACTTGGTTTAGATACAAATTTACATGTAACAGACCTGGTATTAGAACATAGCTGAATGTGGCTTCAAAATGGATCAAAGGATGATTTTAAGTTGGAGATTATTTTGACTTTACCATTAGGAGTCAAACTCCAATTTCGATATATGTTTCCCCCCCCCACCCAGCACCATGAAGCAATTTTTCAGACACCAGCTGGGTATCCCACAATTTAACTAATCTCTGACATTATGTACCCGGAGAGAGCATCAGATCCCACAGGCTAAGGGCTCGGTCCCACAGCACTGCCCGCACTTCAGATGCCAATCACAAGTCCAGCTTGTCATCTGTACTTCTGACAATCCGCCTACAAATCAGAGGTTCCCATGAGCACCTCCTTCCGTGTCACTGATTTGCTGGAGAGGCTCACAGAACTCAGGAAACCAGGTTACTCACTGGATTATCGATTTATTACGAACGATATTAAAGGATGCAAATCAACAGCCAGCTGGAGAGTCATAGGATGAGGTCCTCAGTGCAGGAGCTTCTGACCCCGTAGAGTTTGGGGCCTGGTTCATCACCCCACTAGCTGTTGCAAGCCCATTTTTAGGGGACAAAGGTTTGGTTTATGGAAGCTTCATTACATAGGCATGATGGATTAATTCGTTGGCCGTTGGTTGATTCAACCTCTAGCTCCATTTCCCTCTCTAAGCTCTGAAGGTACTGCTGAAAGTTCCCATTCTCTCTTCACACCCTTGGTTCCCCTGGCAACCAGCCCCCTTCTTCAGGTGACTTGGGGATTTTCCTAAAGTATCTCATTAACATAACAAAAGACAATTTACTCGCTCTCATCACTTAGGAAATTCCAAGGGTTTTAGAAGTTCTATTGAAGGAATGGCAGTAAAGACCAAATATATATTTATTATAAATCACAACATCACAACCACATTGTACTAATTAATTCCTGCATTTGGTAGACTGATTTAATTTTTGCCTTAGAGGGAGAGATGGTATATAGACTTGAGGAGATTTCCTTTGTGGGCAGGGAAACTGAGGCAGACAAGTCCTAGACAAGCTAGGCCTTGAGCCCCTGCAGGCTAAGGCAGGAGGCCCCACTCACCACCCTGCTCCTTACATCTGGGCCTAGCCCTTGACCCTGTCCCCTAGGCCATGCGAAACCTTTCTGGCTTGTTTCTGAGAAATGCGTTGAGAACAAGAAAGGCCCCTCAGGCCTTCCTGGGGTTGGAAGTGGACGTGACTTCCCTGGGAACCAGGGCCGAGGGGCCCTGTGGCCTTCCGGACTTTGAAGTCCCTGCCTCCCGTGGGATAGCTGTGCTGGAGGGCGTCTGGGTGCTCCTGGGCCTCTGACTCTTTCCTGTGGGTCCTCGGGGACCTCGTTGGCCAGCCGAGCGAGAGGAAGCAGTGAGGCTGAAGAAGCCAGGCGGCTGGCTGCCATCCCACATAAACACGCTCTGTCACTGTAAATTATTTACGCGCCATATGGAAGCTGGACAGGCTCCCTGATGAGGTGCATTAATTAGAAGCATGATGATCCCGCCGTGGCCCAGTTTCCTGGGGGCCGGGAGGGGTGTGTGCAGAGGAGCGGAGGGGGGCTTTTCCCTTTCGCTCAGCATCCCCCTGCTTAGAAGGCTGCAGCGAGAGCCCAAAGGCCACAGCTGGGCCCTCGAGGCCACCCCCACACAGGGCTCTCACTCTGTCACCCTGGCCCTTGGCTTCAGGCTCAATGACTCTTCTCCGTCTCTGCCCCGTTCCCACCCCCAGACCTCTGCGTCGTGTGCTCGCTGCCCTCCCTGAGATCTCTTTTCTTTCTCAGCGTCCTTTAAAGCACAGCTCAGATGTCCCCTCCTCTGCGTGGCCTCCCCTCGCACCCCCATGGCTCTGCACACCCTGCCTTGCAGCTCGGCCTCCGGGCCGAATTCAGATACCAGCTCCGCCCCTTGCTGGGACCTTGTGTTCCCACAAGGAGAACTAGAGACCATGGTGGTGTGCCCCTGAAGTTCTGTGGGCAGGGTAGAATATGCACAGCGCCTGGCATCCACGAGTCACCCCACAGATGCTACTTATTATTACTATTCATTATTATT